GAGTATAGAGGTAGGTCAGCATAGACCAAGTGTTCCAGTGTTAGGAATGCAAAAGACTCAGAAGAAATTGTCTAAATTCCCTTTTCTTTAAATATTTGTCGAATGGCTTGTGTGACAAAAGATCTCAAGCGGTTGAGGGTCAAAACATTTGTAATGTGTATACATTCTTATAATAGCATTTCCTTCATTACCTAGTCCTCCACTTTGAAAGAGTGAGGCTTGGCCCCATAGTCATAATAGTCGACGGTACGTTCACCCATGGTTGTCTTGATACGAACTTTTATCCTTCTTGTTGTAATGGGCTTGCTGAGAGTAAAAATTCTTCCTCTTACCAAGAGACAAATACGTTTGGTGACTTAGTGAGTAGCTAAATGAGGTAGGAGATGATGCAATGGGTGTCTGAATGGCCAAGATCTCCTCACTTGGTGGAACTTAACTTCCACTTCCCATTTGTTGATAAGGGTTAACCATATAGGGGTTCCCTTGGTATGTCCTTGCTTTCGCGGATGTGTGGTTGTAAGTTTGTGCCATCACCTCAGAGTAAGTCTTCCAAGTGTTGGCATTGATCATGTACTTGAAGAAACAATCACGTAGGCCTGCTGTGAAGGCTTTGAGGGCGGTCTTGTCATCTACCTTAGCGCATCAAGAATACTCATGGCTGAAGCGATCGGCATACTCTCGTAGTGACTCGTCCGACTTCTGGCGAATTATGTACAAGTCATCTGCAGAATGTAAGCGATCAGTTTAGAAGATGTGTTGAGAGACAAATAGTTTCCTTAGTTCCTCAAATGAGTCTACTGTCTCGGGTGGAAGACAATAATACCAGTTTAGAGCTCCGCCAGAGAGGGTGGAAGGGAAGAGAAGACATCGCTCTTCATCGGTGTGCATCCAATACGCCATGGTGGACTCAAAGAGGTTAAGGTGTTCAATCGGGTCCTCCCTTCCAGTATAGAGTTGTAAACCAAGTTTTTGTTTTGTCTTCGCTTGAAGGGAGGTGTCGAGGATCCTCCTTGTGAGAGGGCCAGGCCTGGGTTGGTTCCAGTCAGGTATCTCGGCCTGACGTTTGGCCTTCAACTTGTTTACTTCCTCAAGGAGCTGTAGGATAAAAAGGTTTTGAGTGGAGTCATGTATCACTGGAATTTTCTTCCGTAAGTCTCCATCGCCTCTTAGAAGTAGGAAAGTTTGAGCAAGAACGTGTGGTTTTTCCTTGGACTCGCCGTATTGACTTATAGGGTAAGTCTATCGGAATACCTCCGAGTTCCCTGTACCTTCATGTTCCTCTGGGACCTGTCGTTCTTTCCCTAGATTGGCAGTTGACCTGGGTCGTGGGAAGGGACCGAGTCTTTCAGAAACCCTTGGGTCATTGATCTTCGAGCTTATGTGGAGGGGATTCTTTCGACGTTGCTTTAGGAAGTCTCAGCAGTCACGATAAACGGATTTGGATCTTTCTAACCCTTCTGCAAGGAGGTGTCTTCCTCCACTTCTCCTACTTCGGGTCGAAGCAGCTAGGTTGAGAGAAGTCTCATGTTGATCAATGTTTTAATGATTAGCTCGATCCTCATCAGGGATACCCATGTCGAAGGAAAGTGACCCTCCGTGTTGGGGGCACCCAAATGATGGTTGATGTCCACAGGGGCAACAAGCTTGCATGTTTGAGTACGCCTAGTTTCGTGGAGCGTCTCGAAGAGCTTCTCATATTGTTCCTGAAGGATCTCATTCTTTATTGCTATCTTATTGTTCTGAGCCTCCAACTCCTCAAATTTAGGTTGAAGAACGAGCTTCTTTCGTTCCATCTTTCGTTGCTTCGCACTAGGTGAGAGGAGGGTGTCGTTCTACGTGTTGTGGTTTCCTTCGCTCCCCATGTTGGAGAGGGATGCCTAGTCAAAAGAGAGTGTACGAATGGTGGAAACCAGCTTGACAAAGCTGAAGAGGGTAGGAATAAGTGTGATTCTCACAGACGGCGCCAAATGTTGATGCACAAAATTAGTGAGGACTTTGGTACAACATAAAGTGTCAAGTTTGTGACCTTAGCTATATTGCTCTGGTCACTAGTGTGAATAAGTATGTAAATTGATAGAGATAAGAAAGCAAACACAAGATGTACGTGGTTCACCTAGATTGGCTACGTCCACGAAGTAGAGGAGTTCTCATTAATTGTGAAGGGTTTACACAAGTACATAGGTTCAAGCTCTCCTTTAGTGAGTACTAGTGAATGATTTAGTACAAATGACATTAGGCCATACTGTAAGGGAATGATCTCCTTTTATAGAAGAGAATCTCTAGTTTTGTTCTGACTTTGACACGTGTCATGCTGTGATTGGCCTTTGATGTTGACACGTGTCGCGCTATGATTGGCCTCAGATGTCGACACGTGTCGTGCTGTGATTGGCCTCCTGGTTGGAAGGAAACTCTTGTGGATCCCTGATGGTATAACGTTGACCGGTGCTCAGTAGTTTCGGGATTGGTCAAGTATGATACAAAGACATACTATATTGTCACATATATATATCTGATCTAAAAAAAATAAAAAAATAAAAAAAATATTGTCACATATATATTACTTCAAAACATTAAAAAATAAAAAATAAAAGTTTGTCTTTCAAGTATTACATACTCCAAAATAAGGCTCTAATGAAAAAACATTAGTCCATTACTACAAAATACCAAATGTTCAAGGATATGCAAAATAAAGATAGTTGCATTTCAAGGTTGATGAAGCTTACATGTTTATATATGTTTTCACATTTTTTTTCAGACTTGTACATTAATAATTATGAATTTTATTTATTTTGAAATCCCTTAGAAATACTATTCTTGGGGGTTTTAAAAATTCAAACGACGATGTACCCAGACGCAAAGCTAGAAGATGCGATCACGAGCATTTGCGCATATTTTCACATTTTTTGCACTTATAAATTAATTATTGTAATTTTGTAATATGTTTGGTATTATTTAATTACTTGCTACTTTTATTTTTAATGTGTATTATAATTTTTTTTAATCTCACTCTGCCTACAATATACTATTAAAATAAACAAATAAATCTTAATTTTTTTAATTTTATATAGAATAATAATAAAATAATACATATTTAATACACAATATCTACATATACACTATGACTATTGTATTTTATAGCAAGTTTTTTTAGTAGTTTAGAAGATTAAAATCATCAAATAACTTTTTCTTAACGTGTGGAATCGGGTTACCCGCATATCACATTCGTGTAAATCTATTAAGGACCCGTTATTAATGAGTTCTTATCGTGTGACCAGATAACGACCCGATTAGTTATCGTGTTAATCCGAAACCTGTTATTTTCTTGTCAATTACGTGTTTTGTTAATGGGTTGTGTAAGAAATTGACAAGTGTAGGGAGGTGGAGGGGGTGAGCTTAGATGAAGTTTTTAGATTATGATAAAGAGAATGAATGGTTCTGATTATGATGTTCAGACGATAAAGATACGTTAATCGTAAAGAGGAAACAAGTAGGTTCCCCATGGGAGAACACAATCATTATCCTTTTACTTACACTATGTTTGGATGAAGAAATTTAAAATTACTAAGGAATTTTAAAATGACGGAAATTTAAATGACAATATTTTATTTTCTAGAATTTGTAAATTTTCTTATTTGGTTAACCTAAAAGAACAACGGAATTGAATACAGAATTTGTTATTTTTAAACTCTCAATCATAGAAATTGGGAAATGACACCTATTTACATGGAATTTGAACTTGGGAATTGGAGGTTCCAAATTCCAAGTTTTTTTTCCACGCAGAAATTCTAAATTTCTATGTTTATGAATTCAAACAAGGGAATTGGTGCATGTCAATTTATAAATTCTGACTTTTACCAAAATTCTAAGTTTATTTCCCTCTTCCAAACATAGTAGTGTTGTTGCATTTTTTTTGTTATGTTACATAGGGGCTGCATTGATAACCATTACATTTTAGTTTCTACTTACTTTTCAAAATATTTAATGGCAACTTGAAATTAAAAATACAAAAATGTTATTCTTACAACCTTGTTGTACTATCATTTGTAGAAATGAGACACACATGCGTTGACGGATCTTACCTTTATTAAAGAGATAATAAAAATGATGGTACAATTAAGTGACAATAGTTCTATCAAGATCGAAGAGTAGCGCGATGGTGATGGAGATTGGAGACCAATGGGAGACTACGTTGAAGGTCTATTTTTCTTGTCTATATATTTGGATTCTGCTTTATTTCGCTCGTAAACTAAATTTCTGAATAGATGAAGGCTTGGAAGTTGTCGTTGGAACTTCAAAGTCATAATTGAGACTTGGGTTTTTATTCTGCTGGTCTAGTCATCCTTTGTTTCTTTTTCATTTTTTTTTTTGTTGTTTGGTCAGAAGTTCTGAATGCAGGACGATGAGTGTGAGCGTGACTCGGACAGCCTTTGACGATGACCATCCCTCTAACGGAATGATCTGTGTCCCCAGAGTAGAACTTTTCAGCCTGAAAATTGATCGAGTCAAGACCCGCAGGCAACAAATCAAATTAGAAACAAATAAGGAGGAGATTTTGGATTTCATAACCAAACACCAGATTATCAAAAGTAGTATCTAATGTTTACGATAAGAAGCAAATATCCAAAATTCGTGGTATTTTTGCTTGAAACTCATGTTCCCTTCCATCCTCTTTTAGTTTTGGATTTTGTTTAACTGTGGATCTTGAACAATTTTGTATGAAAGCTTCTGCTCTGGGTGTAAATTAAACTTCGAAATATAGTTCGAGTATTGAAAGGACTTCACAATTCGAAATGTACAATTCAGTTTATCATTTGAAGGTAAAACTTTAGGTGCTCTTTCGTTGTGCATTTTTGAGATGTGTTCCGGAATACCTTTGTGGAAATGATATTTCTCTTCAATCCATTGCTATTCAGCTTCAAACCCCCTCTTATTTCCTTAGTGTAGCTTTAGAGTAATAACATCGCTCATACTAAAAAACAATTTATGAGTAAAACATATAATCAGCACAAGATGGTATGTTATTATCACTAAGGTAACAACAATGTCGTCGGCATATTTACTTCAAGATATTCACTACAAAAAATAAATTACAAAAATTTGTATACTCGTATAATAGAGTTGGATTAAATTTATTTTGGGTACAAAAGTGAGGCAGATGGAGAAGAACTGGATGCAGAAGATGAGGTGAACTGTGAAGAGATGGTGTTGTAACCATGACCCGAAGACTCTGTCTGACCTCTTTCCAAATCAGTATTGTAACTCGATGAGATTGAAAATGGAATCGGAAGAGATACGTAGCTAGCCACCGGCATCTTTGATGGAAGAATAGGCAATGGAACTTCAAAATTAAGCACTTGAATCGTTTGTTGTATTGAAGGCCTGATCGTGTAATCCGGGTGAGCACACCACAACCCAGCAATCAACAAACACTCCATTTGTTTATCATCAAACTCTCCACACAATTTAGGGTCAACTGCTTCAATGACTTTTCCTTCTCCATAAAGCTCCCAAACCCACTCCACCATATTGATTTTACTCCCTTCTGACTTGGGATCAATGGGTTTTCTCCCACAAGCTATCTCTAAAGCAACAATTCCAAAGCTATAGACATCTGTTTCCTTGCTAGCCTTTCCTGTGGTAAGACATTCAGGAGCCATGTAGCCCATAGTTCCGGCCAATATTGTTGTTTGTGATTGTTTTCCATGGTCCACAAGCCGAGCTAACCCGAAATCCCCAAGTTTCGCGTTGAAATTTGAGTCCAACATGATATTGCTGGATTTGATATCCCTATGCAGCACGCATTGCTCCCATTCTTCGTGTAGATAGAACAACCCGGATGCCAAGCCTTGAGCGATTCTGTACCTTGCCTCCCAAGGTAACAAGGTTTTCGATTTGAACAAATGGGACTCTAGGCTTCCATTGGACATGAACTCGTAAACAAGCAGGAGCTCTCCTTTTTCATGGCACCAACCGATTAGTTGCACCAGATTCCGATGCCTAAGTCGACTGATGATCCTTACTTCGGCCGCGTACTCCTTCATCCCCTGTCTAGACCGACTCGACACCCTCTTAACAGCAACATACGAGTCCAAGCCTTTTATGAACCCTCTATAAACCCCACCAAATCCTCCTTCTCCAAGCTTTTCTCCCTCATCGAAATTACCCGTGGATTGAGCCAATGTCTTGTATGAAAACTTCTTCGGACCCGTCCCCTTCTCGAATTCCTCATCGATCGAGTCGTTCACCATAGGATCCTCATCATCACTACTTCCCCCTGTTTTGCCCTTCCTCCAACAAATGCGCCAAACCAAAACCAACCCACCAGCCAAAACCACACACCCACCAACAACCAACCCAACAAGAAGTCCGACGTTAACCCCATTTCCTGGATCGGGCTCAACAATGGGGTTCGGCTCTGGCACAGGAACCACTGGCGGCGGCGCATCGTGCAGTTCTGTAGAATTAAAACTCCATGTGTTGATTTGAGGTATAGATATGGAATCCCCTGTAGCGGCAGAGAACCCAACAACAACATAACCCTGCAAGTACTCATTCAGGTCTACAATGTAACTAATATTCCTCCACACTTGGACACCATTCACAAAACTAGTGTAAACAACACTAAGATTTTTCGATCCAGAATCGTAGCGAATCCGAGCAGTATTTTCCTCTCCGGTTGTAATGGATCCATTCCAACGCTTTGTCACATTAGACTTGAGAGAGTTGATGTCAATACCAACATGATCGAAGAAAGGATCTTTGACGGAAGTTATGTCATTCTTGTAGATATCAAACTCCACTGCCACAAAGGGGTATAGATTCGTCGACTCATTATTTTGCTGGTTTATGACGGGGAGGCCTAGAGCGCCGCCTCGGCCTACTGTGGTGTTGAGTAAGGACCCGTTTGGCGCCAAAAAGAAGGCGAGTCCGTCGGCGTAGTCTTTATTGCCTTGGGAGTCGATGACGAATGTGAAGTTTGTGGTGAAATCAGCGAGTTTTCCAGTGGCGTTTTCGCGGAGGAGGAAAGGTTGAGAGTAGGTTGCTCGGCCGACGCTTTGGTTCTGTTGCTCGCCGACAATGCTTTTGGTCAGGCGGAGGGACGTGTCGTAGACGAAAGCATCTCCCTCGACAAATAAAGTGGGCGGGTTGCTTCGGAAGGGGGGGAAGTTGAAGGATAATGGTGATGCACAAGGGAGTAGCTGAAACAAGATAAGTTTGAGAAGAAGGACAACCACCATTTTTAATAGTATGTTTGTAATGCTTTTACAGATAAAAACTGTGATCATCTTAAAAAGGCAGAAATTGTATAGTTTAATTTTTTTTCAGGGATTTTTTTCAGCAGCCCCCTTTGTTTACCAATTCAAGTCAAAATAATTTAACTTGGAACTGAGCAATTGACTGCGGAAATGTCATTGGTCATTTCAAAATGAGCAGAAGACTTGGACTGGCTCCAATTTAGCTGTAGCTGAAGTTTTCTTTTGCGGAAATGTCATTGGTCATTTTCAAAAGTTTCTAGTGCCTTTATGCATAATTAATAGAATTAAATACAATATACGTTAGAGTGACCCTATCTATACATATTTTTTATTTTTCATATATTATTTTTAATTTTTGACAGTCAGATTAAACGAATTGGAAAATATCAACAAACAAAATTAACAGTGACGTGTGTGAGATAAAAAAAAAGTGTACTGATAACACCAATAATATTTTATTTCATATTTTTATTTTTTTAAGAACTCTACGGTAGGAAGTAAACTTTATTATTTGGAAGATTCAAGTACTCAGGCATAAAACCTAACCCTCACTTAAGAAATCTTCTATAGGACGCTCCGAGTAAAACCAGGGTCATCCAACCAAACAAACCTACCATCATTTTTGTCCTTTGTTTTTTTAACAAACGATTTACTTGTTTTTTTTATCAAACGATATTACCTACCATCGTTAGATTAACACACTAAGCAAACCAATTAGCAACTCTATTGGCTAATAGACTGATTACAAAAGACATAGTGAAAGAGTATATCCATAATTGTACGTAATTTGTGTCATCTAAAAAACGTGTGGAGATTGCACCAAAGAGGTAAGAGAAGCATCTTGAAAATCATGTCATGTTTGTTCATTTTAACTATTTATTAGTACTATCCTATCAACTTACATCTTAGTTAGGTGCTACATCTCTTCGTAATATTTAGTGATGTTTGAAGTTCGGGTCTCTCTATTTGATAAAACATAAGTATTTATTTAGGGATAATGCTTGTGTTTCTCTCATGGGAGAGCTTACTTGTCCCTTATTGGCATGACAAGATTGGTTAAAAATTATATCCGAAATTAAAAATAAATTTTTTTTTTATTATTTTATAAAAAAAATTAATAATATTTTAATACTAATTTACTAAATTTTGGACCAGCGCATTTTTTATGAATGAAAATGCATTTAACCAATTACTTTTGTCAATTACTATTCATTTGTGTGTATTAAATGAATTTTATGCCAGCGTATTTTTTAACGGTGGAATTGCCCTAATTGAACACTTCCCATTTCAGACGCTTTCACAGGCCCTAGAAATTCACCAAGGGATTGACCGACTTGCTCTAATTTAGTCAGCATCCCCATTTATTGAGTTGGGTTTTTCTTTTGCTGAAATGTCATTGGTCATGTCCAACGATCCAATTCAAAAGTTTCTAGATATGCCCTTTTGCATAATTAATATCTTCACTGCATATTTTTACTTATTTGGGAAACTCGAGGGTGGGAAGTAAACTTTATTATCTTTGAAAAACTTTATTATTTAATATCGAGCTCACCATTCATGAGAGCCAAACTAAGACCTCCCGTCCACAAATGAAGAGGAATACCACGAAATCATAATCTTAGTAGCTGAAAACAGCATTTTAAACCGAAGTGGGATACAAAATAGATTCTGCACAGCACAACACAACACAACCGACAAAAGAACTTCTGTAAGTGAACAGCAATTTCACGCCATAACTGAACAAGGATAATATTCATCGACCACAATTTTCTGGCATAGGTTACTGATGCTAAGTAACTTCAGATCTCTAAAATAGCACCATTCAAAACGTTTAGTTCTATGCCTTTTCCTTCTAGGTATAACTCGTGGAATCTATGATTAAACAGACCAAAAAAGAGATTAAAATACCCTAACTTTCAGTGACTTATAGCTGATGTGCCACTCTCTCTCCTCCAACTAAATGCACTGCAAACATCTAACCTTCAAAGTCAATTCGAAATTTCTTCAGGGAGATGCGGGGAATACTTCTCCATGAGCTGGGTTAATTTGGCATCAAAATCCTTCTCCAGTTCCACTTCTTCCTCCCAATGCCTCCGCTTCATTGCAGCTTTATCGTCATCATGAGCTTTCATCAGCATGTCCCGCTCTGCCACAAATTCTTCCATCTCTTTCTGTTGAGACTTGATGAAGTTTTCAATTTCCTCCGACCTATGGCCATAAGGGAGTATGGAAGATATATAAATCAAACTAAACCAGAAGCACCACATGGGTAAAAGTATTGAACCCCTACTAGGGGCCTAACTTTCTTTGGTCTACACATATTCTTTATCACAAATTACCTGTATTTTTGTTCCTCGGCATTTGAAGGGTTGAGATATGAGTGCTTCACCTTGTCACGTTCCTCCTGCTGCAGCCTCTCAAAATTTTCTTCCTTTGCATCCCTTGATTCATGAATTATCTTGATCTGGTCTTTGAAAAATTGTTCTTGCAGATACATCTTTTCACACCAATAAAAGAAACAACCAAATAAATGAACAAGCCAATAAAACGAAACAAAAGAGCAAGCAAATCTGCTAAAAACAAACAACAAAGAGAGACAAAATATTCGGAAGCCACAAGGAAAAACAAATACAAAAACAAAATACAAACGATGGTAAACCATGCAACATAGTGAAAATACCAACTTCAGATCAAGCCATACCTTGACGCAAGTGTAAACAAGTTTCTACTCTAATATTGAGGCATAATTATCTGACAGTGAAACTTACCTCTTCCTGGTTCTCTTTGTGCTGCAATTTGGTCCTCTGTCTTACGATGCGATTTTCCTCCGTCGTCTTCCTGAGTTTTTCACTCACTATACCAAGAGATTCCTCAAGAGCTTTTGCATGCCTCTGTTCCTTAGCAACCCTGTTCTTAAACCACATAAGCTGTTGGTTGTCCTCACTCATTTGCCTGATTTGGTTCACGACCATCTCCTGGTACGATCTCATCTCAAATTTCAGCCTAGATTTACCTAATTAGTAATGGGAGCATGTAAGACGTCCATATATAACATTTCCAGGGATCTTAATTTGCAAAATAAAGTTCAATGAATCAAAGATAGAATGTGAACTTAAGAGATTTAAGTGAAAACTCATTACTTTGTACCCAAAATGACCATCACAAACACACAAGGTAAGGGGAAGAGAGAGGGACACACCTTGAGAATGCTGGTTAAAAATGTCCAAGTCTTCTTTCACTGCCATGTACCCATAGAGCTGTCGCTTCCCACCAGACTGAAATAAGACACGACAACGGTCCCATGCATCTCTGTCAGTTCCTTGCTCTATAAAATGCTTGTGCAGACGCTCAGCCTCTAAATAACCCCTTGCAGAGGCCTCAAAGATCAAAATGCTCATCCCACGGTGTCCTTGTGGACCATATGAGTGTCGAGCTCTCGCAGCAGAATAAGGGCTGAAATACTCAAGAAGCTCCTGATTTCCCATGCCAATCCACTGAAATTCAAAGCAACATAAAATGAGGACTGGAATGATACCAAGGCAAGGAAACCTTGGCTTTAGAAACAATCATGACAATGTAGACAGACCTATACAAATTTGAAAAACATAATTAATACCTTGTCATTGTCATCCTGCTCAAGTTTAGTGTTCATGATGACAATCATAGGAGGCCAGACGATTTCATGATCCTTTTCCTCATCTTTTAAACCTTTCCATTTACCAAAAGCTTCACCAGCTGGTATAACTGTAGTTCCCTTCCTCCTCAACTCTTCATCCAAAAGCTCTGCAAGCTCTCTATGGAGCATTACCCTTTTTGATCCCTTTGTTTTGGCATGTGTCATCAGGGGCTGCAGGCCTCGGTACCAGTCAATGGAACCAGGACCCCCTTGACATGCAGGACAGTGCCACTGCCTAACAGGATCATTAATCTCATCAACAGTTAAACTATCCAAGATCTCAAAGAATTTCTTGAACCATCTGCTATTTTTTCGAGTTTCATGGCTCTTTTCACTTGAATCCGAGTCAAACTCATCGCTGAATAGCTCATCGTCGGTATCACCCACAGCATCAGAGTTATCATCATCATCATCAACCGCTGCGGCAGCAGCAGCCGCATTGCTGTCCTTGTCATCTTTTCCGTGGACATCTTCTGAACCCTTGGGTTGAGTAACACCAGCTCTAGATTGCCAGTTCCATCCATGGTCCAGTGGAGGGGGAATCACATGTTGTGGGGCCACATAGCTGTTTTCAGAAACCCTGGCAGAAGACTGCAGCCTTACATTTCCTCTTCCCGCTGGTTTTCTCATATCAGAAGTTTGTGAAGGCCAGAAGTTTCCGGCACCCCTTCCTGACCCACCACTATTCCGCATAACTGGCTTCTGAGCATCAACCTGTGCCCAAGCTTTAGAATTAGAATTCTGAGGACCCCATTGTTTTGCAGCACTGCTTCCAGCTCTGTTCTTCGACTTCCTGGCAATTACCTCCCACTCTCCATCATCCTGGGCCGAGCCCAGGCTAACGTCTGCAACACAATGAGTCAACTGTTCAATCTTGGGGCTGCTGACTTCCAAGACATCTTTTCCCTTGAAATTTCCACCATTTCTTCTCGCACTCATCCTAGCAAACAATCCCTTTTTGGGAACATTGTTTTAAACAAAAAAACGCGGTGAAAACATAAAGTATGCGATGAAACATTGTTTTAAACATTAAGTACTGTAACATTAGGAAATATATGCTCCTAATTCCCAATCCTAAAATTTGATTTAACACTAAAACCCCCAATTTCTAATTTAATTTTCCAAATTGAACCTAATTACAATACCAAAATCTTCAGATTAAGGCATTAAAGCCTGATTCTGACCTTAGAAAGAAGAACAATAAACAATTAAGAAAAGATAGATACCTGGGTCAATCTGCAGCGTGTTGTCTGTCGCACACGCGGAAGTGGCTCCGTGCAGCTGCCTGCTGGCTGGGTGCAGTCGGCGGTGTCTTTCTGGCTGTTGAGCGGTGCGCCGGGGGCTGTCAGGGTGAGAGAAGCGAGAAGCGAGAAGCGAGTAGCGGTGAAACGTACAAGAAGAAAGGTTGACTTGAAGTCGCTGCGAACTGAAGGAGGCGTACGCGAAAGAGACCATACGAAGAAACTCTTTATTTTTCAGGGATGGGCCTCTATTAATAAACCTATATTTTAATATTTCAGCCCAAAACATTTTTTTGCAGCTAGGATGGGCTGA